ACTAACAAGTTGTAAGTCGAACAGACCATAAGCCAATTTTACATTTTTCAACACTTCTTTCGAACCAGTAATAAACATTTATGCGAAAAACACTAAAGCTCAATCTGTAAATGTATAATTATTGTACATAGTAAAAAAAGTACACAATATCTGCTCTATTGCATTGGGTTCACGAACTTTTTGACCCTACCAATGTATTTATCTTTCTTTTTTTTTACTATTTGTGTGTGTGTGTGTGTGTGTGTGTGTGTGTGTGTGTGTGCGTGCGTGCGTGCGTGCGTGCGTGCGTGCGTGCGTGCGTGCGTGCGTGCGTGCGTGCGCGCGCGCGCGCGCGCGCGCGTGTGGTTGTCAGTGTGAATTGCAATAAACTGCAAAGGTCCTAAGTTTAGGAGAAGGTGTACCTGTTTTCACACCTTGTTGTATATCCTGACTACTGTAATGTCACTTGTGTTAACCAGCAACCAAAATTGTTGTCATACTAAACATTATTGTCTCCCCACATTAATGATCTCTGCACATTAGTGGTCTCGCACATTAGTGGTCTCCACACATTAGTGGTCTTCACACATTAATGGTCTCTGCACATTACTGGTCTCTACACATTAGTGGTCTCCCCACATTAATGGTCTCCTCACATTAGTGGTCTCCACTACCTCCACACATTAGTGGTCTCCGCACATTAGTGGTCTCCACACATTAGTGGTCTCCGCACATTAGTGGTCTCCCCACTTTAGATGTCTCCACACATTAGTGGTCTCCACACATTAATGGTCTCCACACATTAATGATCTCCACACATTAGTGGTCTCCACACATTAATGGTCTCCACACATTAATGGTCTCCACACATTAGTGGTCTCCACACATTAATGGTCTCCGCACATTAGTGGTCTCCGCACATTATTGGTCTCCCCACTTTAGATGTCTCCATACATTAGTGGTCTCCACACATTATTGGTCTCCCCACTTTAGATGTCTCCATACATTAGTGGTCTCCACACATTAATGGTCTCCACACATTAATGGTCTCCACACATTAGTGGCCTCCACACATTAATGGTCTCCACACATTAGTGGTCTAGTTTTATCTACATCTTGATTGAATATGTTTATCCATAAATTGTCTCATGATGAAATTTGTTTATTCATAAATTGTCCAATCTCATGGTGGAATATATTTATCTGTAAATTGTCCAGTCTCACGATGGAGTATGTTTATTCATAAATTATCCAGCCTCATGGTGGAATATGTTTTTTCATAAATTGTCCAGTCTCGTGGTGGAATGTGTTTATGCATAAATTGTCCTCTCTCATGGTGAAATATATTGATACGTTAATTTTCCAGTATCATGATACGATGAATTTGCTACGCTCCTAATGCTGTATATTTATACATAAAGTGTCCAGTCTAATGTATGTATTAAAGGAGTGTGTTTCCTCCCACAGTTGAAGCAGCAACACAGCGATATGCTGAAGAATGCTGATAATCGTCATATGGAGCTGGAAGTTGAGCTCGTCTCCTGTCGTAAGATGATTGCAGAACTGGAGCGGGTCCTGGAGGCTCACCAGCTGAAGGCCAGGATCGAATGTAATGCCCTGAAGGACCGGCACTGCAAGACTTTGAAGGTAAGAGGAACTTAGTGCTTGTTTGTTGGTTTTGTGGTGGGAGGGATGTGTTTGGTGGTTGGTTTTGTGGTGGGAGGGATGTGTATGGTGGTTGGTTTTTGTGGTGGGAGGGATGTGTATGGTTGTTGGTTTTTGTGGTGGGAGGGATGTGTATGGTTGTTGGTTTTTGTGGTGGGAGGGATGTGTTTGATAGTTGGTTTTTGTGGTGGAAGGGATGTGTATGGTTGTTGGTTTTTGTGGTGGAAGGGATGTGTATGGTTGTTGGTTTTTGTGGTGGGAGGGATGTGTTTGGTGGTTGGTTTTTGTGGTGGGAGGGATGTGTTTGGTGGTTACGTGGTCAGATCTTTGGAAGAAGTCTCATCATGTACATGGTAACAAATGATGTCGGTGACATATCTCAGTGTTGACATCTGAGGGTAAGTTGATGATTAATAAGCTTATTTCAACATTGGCATTAGACGGTATGTTAGAAATTAATAGATATATCCCAACATTGGTAAGTTTCTTTACTAGAAGACATATCCCATCATTGGTAAGTTGGTGATTGGTAGGTATATCCCAACACTGGTAAGTTAATGACTGGTAGGTATATCCCATCATTAGTAAGTTGGTGATTGGTAGGTATATCCCAACACTGTTAAGTTAATGACTGGTAGGTATTTCCCAACACTGGTAAGTTAATGACTGGTAGGTATATCCCATCATTAGTAAGTTGGTGATTGGTAGGTATATCCCAACACTGTTAAGTTAATGACTGGTAGGTATTTCCCAACACTGGTAAGTTAATGACTGGTAGGTATATCCCATCATTAGTAAGTTGGTGATTGGTAGGTATATCCCAACACTGTTAAGTTAATGACTGGTAGGTATTTCCCAACACTGGTAAGTTAATGACTGGTAGGTATATCCCATCATTAGTAAGTTGGTGATTGGTAGGTATATCCCAACACTGGTAAGTTAATGACTGGTAGGTATATCCCAACATTAGTAAGTTGGTGACTGGTAGGTATATCCCAACACTGGTAAGTTAATGACTGGTAGGTATATCCCAACATTAGTAAGTTGGTGACTGGTAGGTATTTCCCAACACTGGTAAGTTAATGACTGGTAGGTATATCCCAACATTAGTAAGTTGGTGACTGGTAGGTATTTCCCAACACCGGTAAGTTAATGACTGGTAGGTATATCCCAACATTAGTAAGTTGGTGATTGGTAGGTATATCCCAACACTGGTAAGTTAATGACTGGTAGTTATATCCCATCATTAGTAAGTTGGTGATTGGTAGGTATATCCCAACACTGGTAAGTTAATGACTGGTAGGTATATCCCAACATTAGTAAGTTGGTGACTGGTAGGTATTTCCCAACACTGGTAAGTTAATGACTGGTAGGTATATCCCAACATTAGTAAGTTGGTGACTGGTAGGTATATCCCAACACTGGTAAGTTAATGACTGGTAGGTATATCCCAACATTAGTAAGTTGGTGACTGGTAGGTATTTCCCAACACTGTTAAGTTGGTGACTGGTAGGTATATCCCAACATTAGTAAGTTGGTGATTGGTAGGTATATCCCAACACTGTTAAGTTAATGAGTGGTAGGTATATCCCAACACTGTTAAGTTAATGACTGGTAGGTATATCCCAACATTAGTAAGTTGGTGACTGGTAGGTATTTCCCAACACTGGTAAGTTAATGACTGGTAGGTATATCCCAACATTAGTAAGTTGGTGATTGGTAGGTATATCCCAACATTAGTAAGTTAATGACTGGTAGGTATATCCCAACATTAGTAAGTTAATGACTGGTAGGTATATCCCAACATTAGTAAGTTAATGACTGGTAGGTATATCCCAACATTAGTAAGTTGGTGATTGGTAGGTATATCCCAACACTGGTAAGTTAATGACTGGTAGGTATATCCCAACATTAGTAAGTTGGTGATTGGTAGGTATATCCCAACATTAGTAAGTTAATGACTGGTAGGTATATCCCAACATTAGTAAGTTAATGACTGGTAGGTATATCCCAACATTAGTAAGTTGGTGATTGGTAGGTATATCCCAACACTGGTAAGTTAATGACTGGTAGGTATATCCCAACACTGGTAAGTTAATGACTGGTAGGTATATCCCAACATTAGTAAGTTGGTGATTGGTAGGTATATCCCAACACTGGTAAGTTAATGACTGGTAGGTATATCCCAACATTAGTAAGTTAATGACTGGTAGGTATATCCCAACATTAGTAAGTTGGTGATTGGTAGGTATATCCCAACACTGGTAAGTTAATGACTGGTAGGTATATCCCAACATTAGTAAGTTGGTGATTGGTAGGTATATCCCAACACTGGTAAGTTAATGACTGGTAGGTATATCCCAACATTAGTAAGTTGGTGATTGGTAGGTATATCCCAACACTGGTAAGTTAATGACTGGTAGGTATATCCCAACATTAGTAAGTTGGTGATTGGTAGGTATATCCCAACACTGGTAAGTTAATGACTGGTAGGTATATCCCAACATTAGTAAGTTGGTGATTGGTAGGTATATCCCAACACTGGTAAGTTAATGACTGGTAGGTATATCCCAACATTAGTAAGTTGGTGATTGGTAGGTATATCCCAACACTGGTAAGTTAATGACTGGTAGGTATATCCCAACATTAGTAAGTTGGTGATTGGTAGGTATTTCCCAACACTGGTAAGTTAATGACTGGTAGGTATATCCCAACATTAGTAAGTTGGTGATTGGTAGGTATATCCCAACACTGGTAAGTTAATGACTGGTAGGTATATCCCAACATTAGTAAGTTGGTGACTGGTAGGTATTTCCCAACACTGGTAAGTTAATGACTGGTAGGTATATCCCAACATTAGTAAGTTGGTGATTGGTAGGTATATCCCAGCATAAGTAACTTTCTTGATTAATCAGCATATTCCAATATTGGGAAGTTTCTGGACTTTTATGAATATCTCAACATTGGTAAATTGGTGATTGGTAGGCATATCCTAGAATTGGTAAGTTTCATTACTTAGAAGGCATATCTCAGCATTGTCAAGTTTGGTGAATGGGGAACATATACCCTCATTGGTAAGCTGGTGAATGGCAGGCATAGCTCAACATTGATAAGTTGGTGACTATAGTGTGTTGCAAAAGTTGTGCCCTGAAACTGTACAAAATATCTCAAAAACTCCTGTAGGGATCAACATAAATTTGTGCCTATGGCCTTAGATTTCCCATTTCCTTATGATTACATAATTTGCAATTGCAGAGCTGCTGCTGTTTTCTTTTATGATCTTTGTGTAACCACCCCCCCCCTTTCCCCCCCCCCCCCCCACCATGATACAGTCATTTACACAAATTATTTACTTTTCATGACCAATCAGCAAACATTATAGCAGTAAATGATCTGAAACATCCACTTCACTTTTCAGAATCAGTGCGCAGTTTTTTGCATGGATTACCTCCCAAATGTGAGCAATTTGAGGTTTTGCCAATACGTGTTAATCCATTGACTGTAAACTTGCTAATTGTATGCTGGATGTTTGTTTACATTGTAATGATTGTCTTACAAGGACGTAATTATTATAGGTTGCATGCCAAACTTCAACAATTTACACTGCATGGTTATTAAGTTACGGATGTTTAAAGTTAGGCAAAATTTCTGAAACGGACTATAATAGGCATATTTTATCATTAACATCTCATGGATCTTCTTCTTCTTCACTTCCTCTTTTACCGCTGTGGGTGTCGAGGGAGATATAAGGTTCTGTTTCTAGCTCTTCTGGCTGCCTCGACCATAGGCACATCTCAAGTGCTGTTGTAGAGTTTCTCTGATGTTATTCTTCCATCTTGTTCTTGGTCTACCCCGTGCTCTACGTCCTTCTTCTCTTTCCATGTGTGCTTTGTATGGTATGGTGTCACAAGGCACTCTCTCTAAGTGGGCAAACCATTTCACTTTCTGTCTTTGTATGTAGTCCAGAATTGGTTCTGTGCCGACTTGTTCTCTTATGATCTCATTCCTGATCTTATCTCTTATGGTCACTCCTACAGCCCTTCTCAGACATCTCATTTCCGTGTTTACTAATTTTCTTTTATGGTTTGTTGTGAGTGACCATGTCTGGCACTGGTAGCACAGAGTTGGAATAAATATGCTTTGAATAAGATGTCTCTTAGTTCGGATTGGGATTGTCTTATGCTGTAAGAGGGGGGCTAGCTGTCCCAATACTTGGTTTGCTTTACTGCATCTAATGTCAATTTCTTTATCCAATTTCCCATCTTCGGTAAATGTAGTTCCCAGATATTTAAACTCAGATGCCTGTTTAATGCCTTTGCACTCTATTGCTATGTTTAGATCTGTCTTCTTTTTTCCTATTGACATTACTTCTGTCTTTTCAGTGTTGATTCTCATATTATTTGTTTTACATTCTTCATTCATGGATGTTAGATGTTGTTGCAATTTCATGGCTGTATCTGCTATCAAAGCCTGGTCATCTGCAAAGAGTAATTCGTTGATCTTACTAAGATCTTCATTCATGGGCTTGGCATTCTAGCATATACTGTCGATGTAGGTGATGCCAAGCCCATGAATGAAGATCTTAGTAAGATCAACGAATTATCTCATGGATAATTTATAAATTATAGACATATCCTAATATTGGAGGGAAATTGCTCACAGGTAATGATTTTGTTAACTAATATAAGTAATGATTGGATTTAAAAAGTTATAATAGATGATTCATAATAAATGATAAATAATGAATTCGCTAACAAACTAGAAAATATTGATGGGGTTTTAGATGATTGACTGTGATGCTGTTGGTAGGTGATGACTACCCCAAAGATGGCTGGCAGTACCCCAAGTACCCAGGACCAGTCTGTGGGGGATGTCTTTGACCTGGAACCTGGCATCACTGACTGCATCCTCCCAAAGGATTTGGCCGAAGGGGCGCATGATGCCCTTATGGAAGAGATCCGGACATTGCAGATGGAGAATGTTAAACTGAAGGTAAGAATTTCATTGTAGGCCTGGCGTTTAGAAAAATCTGTGGCTGAAATTATACATAAACAGGAGATCTTTAAAAAAAATTTTGAAAAAATAATTCAGGACCTAGTTTGATTAGTTCTTCATGGTGATTTTATGATAGAAGAGATTCCAATGATAGTTTATTTAGCCAGTGTTTGTTCTTTGCGAGGGAGCTTTGGAAGGCTTCTACTTTAAAAATAACGTTTGTTTGTTCATTCGTTCTTCTTCTTCTATACACCTGTATCTGTCATTATAATATATATACCTTTTTTTTTTTTTTTTTTTTTTTTAACTTTTGCCCTTTTCTGCCTTTCAGTATTATGTTTTGAAGTTGAATCGTGTGTAAGGCTTGGTTTGTGCCACGCAGATGCTGGTATTTACAGCGAAGTAGAAGGAAGTCAGTTGGCAATCCTGACTGCTTTCAGTTGAAAGAAACCTTCATCGTGGCTGGTGTCCTACCCCTAAGTAGAAGGAAGCCAGTTAGCAATCCAGACTGCTTTCAGTTGAAAGAAACCTTCATCGTGTCTGGTGTCCTACCCCTAAGTAGAAGGAAGCCAGTTAGCAATCTACTTTCAGTTGAAAGAAACCTTCATCGTGTCTGGTGTCCTACACGCTTGTGTGCATGCACTCACACAAATAGACTCATTAAAAATATACATAACTGCCTTTTTTCTGTCTTTAAATCTTACCATAAAGAAAATAAAAAAACTAACAGTGCAAAGTATGATTTTGTTAATAAAAATTTTTTTTAATGGTTTCCTGTGAATCTTAGCACTGCATGTGCTGCGTTACAGGTCACCATATTTTTGTGTGTGTATATATGACTCCCCGTCGGCTCTGTGGCTAAGTTGATGTGAGCGCTTCGTAATCCCGGGGTGCCGGGTTCGAACCCAGCTGCGGGCCATGCGCCTTGCGTTGGTTTCGACGGTGGTGTCAGTGGGCCGACCGTCCAGAAAGCAATGACAAACTACTGGATGTAAATTGCCTAGAGAAACCACACAACATCCAGGGGCTGCTGGGGTTGGTTCTGCAACGTCCTGTAAAGGATACGCAACTAACCTAATATGACTCCCCCATGTATAAGGTGACCCCCCCCCCCCCCCCCCCCCCTTTTTTTTTTTTTTAAAACCACAAATAAGAAGTATATATTTTAAACACATTCTGTGTAGAAGATGACCATTTTAAAGTTTACAAAATTTGGGAAACATATTGTCTCGTAAAAATATGGTAATTATCATGGGCGTATATCATGTCAGTAGAATAGCTACAGACTGTTAGGGCTTATGCTGGCAATGGTTGCAGTAAACTCTTCTTCTGCGCTCACTCTTAGAAGAGCGATTGGCACATTGGGTTGTGTTTAACAGCTAGACTGCGATTGGCCTTTCCAGCAAACACCGAGGTTCAGCAAACCTCTTATTAGTTGCCTTTCATAACTTGCTCATTGGGATCAGTGGGTCTGTTATTTTGTTCTTCCAAAATTGGTTCCCTGAACCCACACAGGGAGAGCAAAAAGCTCAGTGACTAGCTGTGAATAAGATGATGTGTATATGTGCTTCACATACTTGACTTTCTAAATAGCTTTCACATGTGATTCCTAAGAAGAATACTTGGCATTAGGTGGCAGGACAAGATCACAAACACTGAGGTATTGGAAAGAGCAGGTATCACAACAGTTTTGACAATGCTCCGTCTTTGAAGGTTCAGGTGGCTGGGTCACACTTGCAGGATGGAAGAGTCCCTGGGGATATCCTCTGTGGTGAATAATTACAGATGAGTAGAAGATGTCGATGTCGGCCTGTGCTGCAGTATTAAAATACGTGCAAGCAGGACATAAATGATACCGGCATTGAGGTAGATTTTTATGAGAGCAAAACGTGATGGACCATGCTTTTTTTGGGGTGTATGGGCGTCGGAAGGAAACAAAGAAAAAATCGATTAGAGATGATGAGAGCTGAGCGTCTGAGAAGAAGTGCCCTAAATACAAAAGATAGCGACAACTGTCATGAAGTTGTGGAAGACTTTCTTAACGCAGGTGGGTCTTGCTAGTCACACTTGCTATCGCCATGGCCTGGTATTCCAATGCCTCTCTTAGCACAATATAACACTATTGTCTGCAAAACCAGCTGTATTTGACCTTTCTGATCTTGTGTGTCCAGTAATTGATGATGTCACTAACAATGTTCCAGGAGCGTGTAGATGAGTATGAGGCTGACATGTTACGTCAGAGGCAGCAGGTGGAGAAACTGGAGCTGTACAACACACAGTTGTCTGGGGTACGTGCTTGTATGTGTTGTTAGAGTTGAGACATTTTTGAATCTGATTGAAGAGTGAGTTCTTTATTTTTTTGTGTGGCTACGCTATTATTGTTTAGCAGATCTGTAAAATGGCTACTCCTTGAAGCTCTTGGGTTAACCCAGTCCTGTAAACTGGACCACTCCTTGAAGCTCTAGGGTTAACTCAGTCCTGTAAACTGGACCACTCCTTGAAGCTCTAGGGTTAACCCAGTCCTGTAAACTGGACCACTCCTTGAAGCTCTAGGGTTAACCCAGTCCTGTAAACTGGACCACTCCTTAAAGCTCTAGGGTTAACCCAGTCCTGTAAACTGGACCACTCCTTGAAGCTCTAGGGTTAACCCAGCCCTGTAAACTGGACCACTCCTTGAAGCTCTAGGGTTAACCCAGTCCTGTAAACTGGACCACTCCTTGAAGCTCTAGGGTTAACCCAGTCCTGTAAACTGGACCACTCCTTGAAGCTCTAGGGTTAACCCAGTCCTGTAAAATAGATATCATGTGCACGTGTATCATTTTTGACTGACAGTTGATTAGACATGTAAAAATAGGAGCCATGAATTGCTTTTTTTTTTTTTTTCTGTTCATACCCTAGGGTCTTTATTATCTGATACCCACCTTCAGACTGGTTAACCCCTACCTTTTCATCTGAGAACCGTATGTGTAAAATCACTACAGGGATTAGTATGGTCAAAGTATTTCAGTTTCCCAGACATGATGCCATGAATTGAGCCAGTTTTCTTCTGTATGAAGAAATTGTATTCGTAGGGGTATTTTTCTTCTTGATTCACTGTATTATAACCCTTTTCTGTAACCATCACAAGCCCCAGGTTGCTTCTAAGATGTTTGAAAAATAGCCAGGACCAACTTCCATTTGTTGCCACATAAAAGATACACATTCTCAAAATTTTACTTTTAATTTGTTATTGGTGTTTTCCCTCAAATTGTTAAGATTGAGAAAAATGTTGAAAGAAAGACAGACGTCATCATATACCAGCAAAAAATCTGGCATCGTCACCAACAGCTGTTGTTTTTTTTTTTTTGGCCTCTTGAACTGAAATAAATGTTTATTGCCTGAGACAGGTACTAGAAAAGGAGAGAGTGGAAAACACAGCCCGAAGGAATGATTACACGAGTGCTGTCAACACCCTCAAGGAAGAGATTGACACAGTGAAAAATGATCTTAAATGTAAGTCAAAACATCTTTCTTTTATTATGTGAAAAACTTTCTTAAATTTAAATGAAAGTAGCCTGCCATTTTCTTTGACCAATTACCTTAAAGGTAAGTCGAAAAAATATCTTTTTTTTTTTTTAAATATCTTGAAGGGAAGTCAAAATATAATTTTTTTCTTCATAACCAGTTACTTTGAATCTAAGTCAGAAATTCATTTATTTCTTTCAAAAACTATCTTGAAAGCAAGTCAAAAATGTATCTTTTTCTTTGTTACTGCTATCATGGGAATTTTAACTCTTCGCTTGTGCTGAAGATGGGGACTGAGCGCTTATGGGGGTGCTATGATGTCGATGGTTAATTCAATATTCAACATTTCTTTTCTTTGTAACAAATTATCTTGAATCTAAGTCAGAAATGTATCTTTTTTTCTTTTACCTTGAATATAAGTCAGAAATGTTTCGTTTTCTTTGTGACGTACGGTTTAATCCTTCCCTACAGTTCTCTAGAACTATTGACCCTAGTGTATTTTTTAAAATTATAATAAGCTTTTTGTAATGGGTATCTTTTCCTTTTATTTTGTTTAACAATATCCTGCCTTAGTCAAAATGTTTTTCTTCTTCAAATCTCTTTGTGTAGACCACGAAGCTAAGAAAAGAGATGACACAGAAAATTAATGTACCCATACATCATGGATATTAAATGGAATGAATTCAAGAAAGCCAAAGAATGAAGACAATGGCTTGTATCAACAGTTATAAGAAGAAGAAAAAGGTGGTGCTATATTGGGCACCTCATTCAGGAGAAGAGGCTAGAGAATCACCATCAAACAGGCATGTAAGAAGAAACAATGGAACTAAGGAAACAGAAACATTTTACCAAAAAAAATAAATGTACGCTAAGACAAATGTTGATAAGAGATCAAACGAACAAACTTTATTTCCAAAAGGTTTCAAATGGGTATGCAGCCACATTAGGCCTTTTCAAACACAGATTTTTCACACAGCAAATTGCATGTTGTATATCAAGCATATTATATTCATATACCAAAATTGTTATTATGAATAAAAGTAATTTTACAAAAGCAGAACAAACAAATTTGATTTTCAAATGGCTAAGAATTTAGCCTGCAGGCCCGTGTGACAGTCTGCCCTTCAGATGCCAAAAGTGCTGGAGCGGATTCTATTCATGATATTGAAACTGCACAGGATTGAAAGGAATAGAGGAGTAAACTGAGAGCCCTATATGACATATAATGACATAGAAGGATGAGGATGATGATGATGATGACAGTCCTGTATCTACTACGTACATTCACTGTTTGTAAATCATGTCCACAGTGTTAAACGACGAGAACACAGACTTACACCTGGTACTGAAGTCGGCAGACAAACAGCTCAAGGAAGAGAAGGAAACCCACAAAGCTGCACAACTTGGTCTCTCACAGGAAATCCAGTCACTAGAAAATAAGGTGAGAGATATAGTTAACATCTCTGACAGTGCTTGTATCAGATCCTCATGTTTGAGTTCTTCCCTGTACAGTGCTCAGTTTTGTTGGCACCTTTCCGTCTTTCCAGACAACAGTGTTATGTTATGCTATAGGGAGGCATGAGAATCACAGCCTGGGGAGATGCGTGTGTGACTAGCAAGATCTGCTCACTATAAGAAAAGTCATCCGCAGTATTAGCATATGATTTCAGGACCATTGTTGATGTTACAGATATTTAATGTTCTTTCTAATGGCGAGGGCCAGTACTAGGGTCACCCCGATGGGCTTCCTCAAGGCTGGGCAGATCTACAAAGGTACGAGAAACAAAACATACACTCCATCAGTGCTTGACTGTGTCGTGCAGGCTACTTGCTGTAGACCTGCCTGGTCACGAGAGGTACTCAGAGTTAATCCAAAAGACAGGCCTGCCACCCGACATGGTCCTACACTCAGTGGGAAAAACGTCAGCTCATCCTGATTGAAGCCGTATGAGTCGCGAATGGATGAAAGTCACATGTATAAGCTCGAGAAATACAGTGACCTCGCGGCTGATCTGAGGAGAGACGAAGGGTACGCAGTACAAATCTTCGCCGCCGAGGTAGACACAATAGGTCTAGTCTTCTTATGCATTTACAATGTGCTCAAGTAGCTGGGCTACTGGTATGGGTATGTGGGCCCCTGAGAACTTAGAAAGAACTTAATATCCCCTCAAAAGCCAAAATCCCAAGTATCCGTTAATGTTTCTCTGCCAACTGCTAAGTCCAACAAAAATAACGCAAGCCCGAACAATACATGCCCGACCACAGCACAATAGTTTGCTCCTACTACAGTATAAGCATGCTATATGGGGCGGTGTTTGTGTGCGTCTTATCTCTCGCTCGTCACTCGACCACAGGCAGCTCTGCTGCCGCGGTGAACAATACACCACAAATGAACCTAGTCTCACCACTACCTGTTGATACACTGTCATCTCATCCGATAAAAGTACGTGTTTCATCGAGCACAGCAGGGGATTTGCTGGGGTCTGGCTTCATGAACCAGGTTGGCTCCCCTTCCGAGATTATTTTAGGATTGTAACGGGCCGAAACAATTGTCGATGGAAGGACGTTCTACTGACGACCGGTAGACCCCTGCTGTGAATGCTCCTCTGTGTTTTCTTATTATTATTGTGGCTACCTTTCTGTGACCTACTCATTATTGACTTTTAAATGTGTTTTGTCTGTATTCTTGTGGCTACCATTTTGACCTCCTTCTGTGTACTCTTATAGCTACCTTTCTATGACCTACTCATTATTGGCTACTAAATATTTTCTGTGTGTGTATTTCTGTGGCTACCGTGTTTATATGAACTTCTCATTGCTGGCTACTAAAAATTTTCTGTCTGTGTATTCTTGTAGCTACCATTGATTATTAGATCCCCTCCTGATTGACCACTAAATGTTTTCTGTCTGTTTTCTTGCAGCTTTCAAAGGCCAATATAGATCTGGAAACCACCACCAGAGACTACGAGGATGCACTGAAGGAGCTTGGAGCACTGAAAGTACGGCAGCTGTCTTAATTTATTATTGTTGTTAAGAAGTTCACTGACCGCAAAGGGTGATTTTATTTTTTAAACACAAAAATATAATAAACAGGGAGCAAGGGGAAGATGATGCAAAATATGGAATGACAGCATTAAGAACAACCTTAAAGGAATGAAGATCAGCTCATACAACATATTAGAAAGAGTACACTGAGGATCTGTACAACCAACTTTCCCCCAACACTTGGATGAGGTTCTGGAGGAAGAGAAGAAGAATTTGTTGTTTATGACTGTGGCCATCTCTGATGTACGTGGCTGTGTAGTTTCACTAGCATGTGGTTGTACTTGTACATGACAGTTTCAGAGACATATCACCAGATTTCTTCCTCCGTGTGAATGAGAGTTCCAGTTCGGGGGGGGGGGGGGGGGGGGGGGGGGATAGATCTACTGCCCTCCAACATACATGTTGTACAAAGTAACTAATGAGAGCTTTTCTGAAATCAGATATGTTAAGTCAAAAGTTGCACATATCACAGCCTAGCTGTAAACCACAAAACAGTGTGCCAGCTGTCCTTGTTATGGTGAATGAAGAAAAAGAAATTACCGGATTTTTAAAAACGTGAATGCTGTTACATTTTTCAACCATAGATGGGTTCTCCTTTGTTTGTTTTTGTTGTTTTTTTTAAAAATCTGTTTGGTATGATGAGGAAATGAGCGATATTTTGAAGATAAGCTGTTTGTCTTTATTTGACCATGTCCAGGAAGAACTGGAGACTGCTCAAGTAACGATTTCATTTATGGAGAATCATGCTTTAGAGTTGGAGGAGTCCCGCAACCAGGAGATGAGGAAGCGAGAACGGCTGGAACAGGAATACAGGGTAATTTGTTTCTAAGCTGGTTCAAAAGCTCGCAGCGTGTTTGTGTTGGAGGATAAGCTTTATTCTTGTTCTGTTCTTTTTCCCCAGTGAAGCATAGGACCTCAGCTAGCTTGGGCCAAACTGTTCTATTCTTTGCTACCCTGTGCAGCTAACCTGGTGTCCTTCCGTCTCATTAACTCTTTGCTCCATGTTTTGCTGCGTATGTTTGTATTCCTTTCACCTTGTGGGTTACCGGGTTTCCTTGTGGTCAAGTGGTCAAGCCAGTTGCCCCTGATGGTTGAGGGTTTGTTTCGTGGTCATGCTGTTCAGTTCAGGTGTGCAGTTTTTACAAAGATCACTGGGGACTTTTGCCGGAGATACAGCATTTGTGCTTTGTGCGACATGCAGGACAGGCTGCTATCTGTTCTGTGGAGAGTGACTGAGCCATAGGGCATAATCTGATGCATTGAAGTCATCTCAACTTTTAACTTTTTTTTTTAAAATCCACTTTCTTTTCTTTTTAAAGCCTGTGAGTTGCAAGTTTATTCAAGTGAATGAGATAAGATGGTCTGGCTATCTGACGAGAATACCCTGCTACCAGCTGCCCCAGAGAGCCACGCTGAAGAAATATAATGAACACAGAGCAAGAGGAGGACCATGTAGAATATGGAATGATGACACCAAGAACAGCCTTAACTCTTTGAGTCCCGAGGAACGCATTACACATTCATAGATTCCTACCTAGAAGCCCAATGAACGCAAATGCGCTGATTTTACGTCTTTCTTGACTACCCCTTGGGCCTGTGATGCTAAACCCCCTGGGTCTTAAAGAGCTAAGGAAATGAAGTTGAGCTTATACTATACGTTGGAAAGAAGATGCTTACATCTCCTCCCCAGCACTCTGATGAAGTGACTGGAGAAAGTGAAGAAAAGAAAGAGAGGGTTCCAAGTTTTCTCAGTGTTTGTGAAAGCCCTTTATCAATTTAGAGCATAAGATACTGTTGGGACGAGATTGTTGTTTTTTTTCTGTCATGTTGATTACTTTTCTGTGGCACTGTTTAATTTAGTTTCTATAACCATCTTCCTGTTTTCTTCATTGAATAAGACTGGTTGAAATGTTTTCTTGTTATGTATGTGTGTTCAAACTCCCATTTTGTGTTAATTCAGTCATTCTTGTGAACAGTGGCCATACACCTGATGGTTTTACAGAAGTCAGTGTTTCTGCATGTTTGGGATTACCTGTCACTTTTATGATCATAATGCTAATGTAATTTCAGGAGTCGGTATTTCTTGTGTTGTTGGGATGACATTTAAACCTTACGACCACATTGTTGGGATGACCTTTAAACCTTACGACCACATTGTTGGGGTGACATTTAAACCTTACGACCACATTGTTGGGATGACCTTGAAACCTTACGACCACATTGTTGGGATGACCTTTAAACCTTACGACCACATTGTTGGGATGACCTTGAAACCTTACGACCAAACTGTCGCTCAGCAGGTCCTTTACGGATGGTTGCTCTCTTCACAGCACGACTGAAAGTCTCTCTTTCTCTAACCAGTTTTCCAGCCCTGTCTGCTTTCATGGCCAATGCATCTTCACTGTCCTGTATCCACCTTCGCTGTCCTGTATCCACCTTCGCTGTCCTGTATCCACCTTCGCTGTCCTGTATCCACCTTCGCTGTCCTGTATCCACCTTCGCTGTCCTGTATCCACCTTCGCTGTCCTGTATCCACCTTTGCTGTCCTGTATCCACCTTCGCTGTCCTGTATCCACCTTCGCTGTCCTGTATCCACCTTCGCTGTCCTGTATCCACCTTCGCTGTCCTGTATCCACCTTCGCTGTCCTGTATCCACCTTCGCTGTCCTGTATCCACCTTCGCTGTCCCTGTATCCACCTTCGCTGTCCTGTATCCACCTTCGCTGTCCTGTATCCACCTTCGCTGTCCTGTATCCACCTTCGCTGTCCTGTATCCACCTTCGCTGTCCTGTATCCACCTTCGCTGTCCTGTATCCACCTTCGCTGTCCTGTATCCACCTTCGCTGTCCTGTATCCACCTTCGCTGTCCTGTATCCACCTTCGCTGTCCTGTATCCACCTTCGCTGTCCTGTATCCACCTTCGCTGTCCTGTATCCATCTTCGCTGTCCTGTATCCACCTTCGCTGTCCTGTATCCACCTTCACTGTCCTGTATCCACCTTCACAGAGGTCAGCTTGTGCTTCATTTTCCAGAAACTGCCCTCCATCGCCGTTCTCTCCAGACAACCATGGTATTTGACATGTCAAAAATACCTCAGCTTTTGTGGGAGGGTGATGTTTATGAGCCAGTTCTCCTCGATGTTTGGGGTCATGCAGGATGTCGACGTTTTTCCTCTTCTTGGTCCACAGTGTTTTTATGACAAAACACATCACGTTATTTCAGGAGTCGATATGAAGGGGAGGCTACCTGCCAATATTATGACCATACCTCTGCTGCTTCTTGAAGTCTGTGTCGTGTGGAATTTGTAGTCATGACTGTCCACATCCTTCTGCCTTGTATACTTTTAGTCAATTCTTCTGTGTCATTGTCTCAGACTGTCCAGCATCATCTCTATCGGTCTCCCTCTGTCTCTTTTTCCCTCCAGCTTTCCACCCATAATGATGTACTCCAGCTTTCTCCTTCTCCTGACATAACCAAAGAATGTAGATTGTCTTATTCTGATGTTGGCAGTTTGTTCTGTTCGTCAGTTAGTTTCTTCGAAACATCATCAGTGTTTTTTTTTTTTAAAGATCTGTTTAAGGTATTCTCATCATTCATCCACAAAACCACATATTTTTTTTCCCCAAATCGACCAGCTGCCCATAATTCACTTTATCAAGATAAGATTTGTATAGCTGTTGAGATTCTTTATTTTCATTTGTTTCGACAAACATTGCATAGTATAGTCTTCAGTTTGTAAAATGCTGCTAGAGTTTTATGACCATAATACAGTAAAGTAAAGATCCCTTTTCACATCTTTAGGCACATGGGAAGAGCACCCATATTTTTTACAGACCAATCAGCACTAGGTGGGTAATGTCGTCATCATTAAGCCTGCCGTCCTTACTTTCTCAGGACACACATCCTGGTACCTATTTTAGGCTGGGTCGACCTGCGATGCCCCATACCACGATAAAATTCATGCAGCCAGCAGTTGGTTTCGATCATGGTTTGTTGGACTCGCAACGCCTAAGCCACAAAACGCTGCATGACTAAAATACCGCTGATTACATTTCAGTAGCCAGTATTTCTATAGGTTGTTTGGATTACCAGTCATTCTTATGTAATTTCAGGCCCTGAAGTCATCGACGGGGGAGCTGGACAGCTACAGAGAGTACAAGGAACAAGCCAAGGCCAGCATGGACTTCAAGGAAGCTGAACTGGAGGCTGTTTTAGCTTGTAAAGCTGAACAGGAAAAGATGATTGTCCAGCAGGAGAAGATCATTGAAGACAACAAGGTAGGCATTGCTACCAAATGGTTTGGCAAAATTCTAGCTGTTGGGGAGGGAGAACACATAACATTACTGACTATACTGAGTAAAAGTAAAGGAAAGGATGCTTGTAACACTGCTGGCACATGGGGTTTATTCTGTTGTAACACTGCTGGCACATGGGGTTTATTCTGTTGTAACACTGCTGGCACATGGGGTTTATTCTGTTGAAACGCCGCTGGCACATGGGGTTTATTCTGTTGAAACGCCGCTGGCACATGGGGTTTATTCTGTTGAAACGCCGCTGGCACATGGGGTTTATTCTGTTGTAACACCGCTGGCACATGGGGTTTATTCTGTTGAAACGCCGCTGGCACATGGGGTTTATTCTGTTGAAACGCCGCTGGCACATGGGGTTTATTCTGTTGTAACACCGCTGGCACATGGGGTTTATTCTGTTGTAACACCACAGGCACATGGGGTTTATTCTATTGTAACACCGCTGGCACATGGGGTTTATTCTGTTGAAACGCCGCTGGCACATGGGGTTTATTCTGTTGTAACACCGCTGGCACATGGGGTTTATTCTGTTGTAACACCACTGGCACATGGGGTTTATTCTATTGTAACACCGCTGGCACATGGGGTTTATTCTGTTGTATCACCGCTGGCACATGGGGTTTATTCTGTTGTAACACCGCTGGCACATGGTTTTTTTTTTGGGGGGGGGGGGGGGGGGGGGGGTCTCATATTTGTATTGTCCCTAAGTGGGTGCTGGGACCCCAATGGGTGTCAATAGATCCACTGCCTTAGTTAACAAGCATGTTGTGAAAGGCATCTTATTAGGGATAATTTTTTCCTCTGAAGTTGGAGCAAGTCTGCCTGAGATGCTAGGAATGAATGAATAATCTGCATACACATATGCAGATCTGTCAAACGTACATGCACACAAAATTTAAATTCTGGAACAAGACTGCTGTCCAGAACTTTCTGCCTGCAGTTTGCAGCTGCTGAATGTGAAGAAGATATTTTTATCGACAAGTTGGTATCGAGTCAACATCAAGCCAGCCATCTTGACTTCCCTGAAAAAAATATGAGCATAACTGATTATTACAAGTATAATTCACTCTGTGGATGTGGTTTTATAGAGGAATGATGAGAATATCCTGGACAGATAAAAAGAGAAATGAAGACGTCTTGAAAGAAACTGACTCACAAAGAGAACTGATTGCCCCCATCAGAAAGAGACGATCAACATTCTTTGGTCATGTGATGAGGAGACAATCAACATTCTTTGGTCATGTGATGAGAAGGAGAAAACTGGAGTACATCATGACGGTAGGAAAGTTGGAGGGGAGGAAAGGCAGAGGGAGACAGAGAACAGATGCAGGACAGTTTGACATATGGCATAGAAGATCATCTGTGTCAGAGTTGATTAAAAGTACACGAGACAGAAGGTTGTGAATAGACATGACTACGAACACCACACGGCATGGACTTTATCAAGACTAAGAAATGCACTTTTTTAAAAATTGCTTGACACCCCGTCCGCTGAACTCCCCCACCCCCCTTTCCTTCCAGGCTAGGGACAACTGGTCTTTACAATTCTGAGGGTAGTACCATATGTGCAGTTTTCCTTAAAGCAGTGTTTCTCAAACTGCGCCGTGGGGAGGCGCAACCTCTTTACAGGGGCGCCGCAAAATATTCGAAGATACACGTTATATTTTTAAAAATTTCTTACATACAGATGGTCATACTTTTACTTAGGTTAGGGCGTCATGGAAAAATGTTTATTGAAAAAGTGCAGCGACTAAGACAAGTTTGGGAAACACTGCCGTAAGGTGTTGAAGTAAGTCCTTTGCTGGCTTTAAAGCAACTTTTAAAAATAAACATTAATAATGATATTGTTTTAATTGTAAATAGGAAATGATTTCCAACTTGATGACCAAGATGCATGAGATGAAGACCAGCTTGGCAGGTAGTGAGGCCTCCAACATGACCCTCAGGTCGGAGCTGGAGAACTACAGACAGGAGCTGGAGGAGCTCAAACGAGAGCAGGAGGTCACATCAGCAGAGCTGGCTTCCAGTCTGCAGGAGCTAGCCAACATGAGAGAAGGATACGAGACTGAGCTTGAGAGGAAGAACTTTGAAGTAAGAACATTTTTATTTGTTGTTTTCTCCATTAATCAGGCTTAGGTACTTTGGAAGAAGACAAAAAAAGGATGTGATACAGTGAAACCTTGTAAACAAAAATTTTGCTTAAGAATATTTGGTTAGGATTAACAAAATTATGGTCGCAGCAAGGATGTATTATTGTAGTTAGTTCCCTGTTAGCATAATTATAGCATAATTATTTTTACACGAACTCAGTTTTCAGTCATTAGGAATTTGTGTTAACATAGTGGATTCCGAGACCCCACAGTGGGTGTGTGTTCGGGAGGAGGGGGGGGGGGGACCTATTAGGCATATGCAGAACCAACAATCTGCATTCAAAAAAGCCAGATCTGCAAAACAAATTTGCATGCAAAATTAAAGTTCTAGAATAAGACCAAAGTCCAGAAGTGGACAAATAACCAGAACTTTCTGCCGGAGTTTACTGACCGTGAATGATAAGAAGGGGTATGACCTATCGGGCCAGTAGTTGTTAGACTTTTGTTTTATGAATACTGAATAGGCTCAAGTTTCTTGCATAAATATACAAAGTTGTATTTAAAAGTTCTAATACTTAACTCTGATGCATTAGCGTTAAGTTTGTCTAAACCCAGAAAAGGGTATGGTTCTATCAGAGCAAGGTTGGGGTGAGGACATTTCTGCTAGCATGGTACCAGTACTATTTCCAAGGAGAGTGTATTGCAGAGCTCTCCTTTCCATTTTTTTAAGCTATGAAACTGTGTATTGTTGTTCCATCATTTTAGATTATTTCTTAATGTCGTTACATTACACTATTGTTCCACTATGTTCAGACTGCTATTTCAGTGTTACATTGTACAGTTGCTCCGCTATGTTTAGACTGCTATTTCAGTGTTACATTGTACTGTTGTTTCATTATGTTCAGACTGCTATTTTAGTGTTACATTGTACTGTTGTTTCATTATGTTCAGACTGCTATTTTAGTGTTACATTGTACTGTTGTTTCATTATGTTCAGACTGCTATTTTAGTGTTACATTGTACTGTTGTTTCATTATGTTCAGACTGCTGTTTCAGTGTTACATTGTACTGTTGTTTCATTATGTTCAGACTGCTGTTTCAGTGTTACATTGTACTGTTGTTTCATTATGTTCAGACTGCTGTTTCAGTGTTACATTGTACTGTTGTTCCATTATGTTCAGACTGCTGTTTCAGTGTTACATTGTACTGTTGTTCCACTATGTTCAGACTGCTGTTTCAGTGTTACATTGTACTGTTGTTTCACTATGTTCAGACTGCTATTTTAGTGTTACATTGTACTGTTGTTTCATTATGTTCAGACTGCTGTTTCAGTGTTACATTGTACTGTTGTTCCACTATGTTCAGACTGCTGTTTCAGTGTTACATTGTACTGTTGTTCCACTATGTTCAGACTGCTGTTTCATGGTGATGTTACATGTTACTGTTGTTACTGTATTGTTCAGATTGCTAATCTGCAAGAAGACCAAGACAGCATGAACAATACTGTGTTCAGACAGATGGAGACGATCACAAGTCTACAGACACAGATTGGAGCTCAGGAGGTGAGTAGATTGTTAGAGTACGTTTTACGGACAAGTGTGCAAGTGTAGGTTTTATAGGTAGGTTGATGCGAATAGGTTTTATGGATAGGCTGGTGCGAGCAGGTTTTATAGATAGATTTGTGAGAGTATGTTTTATAGATAGGATTGTGTGAGTAAATTTTAAGGATAGGTTTGTGTGGGCAGGTTTTATGGATAGGTTTATGTGAGTAGGTTTTATGGATACATTTGTGAGAGTGGGTTTAAGAGATAGATTTGTTTATGTTTTATACATAGTCTTATATGTGTAGGTTTTAGGGCCTTGTGGCTAGTGTAGTTGGCACAACAAACTGTTCTCATTATTTGTTTTCAAGGACAGGAACAAATTTCCATCACCTTACCGAGCTTGAACCCAGTTCTCTTGCATAAGAGCTGACCATTCTAACTACTCGGCCAGCTGCTGCTAATAAAATTCAATTATAGTCATAAATCATTTTGATGTTTCGTGTCAGGTTAGTTACGAAAACTGGCATGAATATTTGTGAATCTCAATCTCGTTTTTTGACAGTCCATTTATTGATTAATTTCAAATTATTGAGTTGGTTTCCTTTTGAAATTTGTATCCATTTATGTGTTCATGTTCATTATGTTTATCTGACAGATAATTATTCAGGAGATGCAAGTTTGCGTGGAAGAATACAAACATAAGGTATGTTCATAAATTAGTGATGGAACAAATGTTCATTGCATTTGTAATTATTATCTTTATGGTTATTGTTTAAATATAAAAGATTTCAATGGGGGTGGACCACAAGGCAGATATGGTAGATGGTGAATGGGAGCGGACCACAAGGCAGATATGGTAGATGGGGAATGGGAGTAGACCACAAGGCAGATATGGTAGATGGGGAATGTGAGTAGATCACAAGGCAGATATGGTAGATGGTGAATGGGAGCGGACCACAAGGCAGATATGGTAGATGGTGAATGGGAGCGGACCACAAGGCAGATATGGTAGATGGGGAATGGGAGCGGACCACAAGGCAGATATGGTAGATGGTGAATGGGAGCGGACCACAAGGCAGATATGGTAGATGGTGAATGGGAGTAGACCACAAGGCAGATATGGTAGATGGTGAATGGGAGTAGACCACAAGGCAGATATGGTAGATGGGGAATGGGAGTAGACCACAAGGCAGATATGGTAGATGGGGAATGGGAGCGGACCACAAGGCAGATATGGTAGATGGTGAATGTGAGTAGATCACAAGGCAGATATGGTAGATGGTGAATGGGAGCGGACCACAATGCAGATGGTGAAGATATGATATACAGGCAGACCTACAAACATTTGAAGTTAGCAACTGGAAAGAGAAAGTCTGTCAGTCACAGAGAGAGAGATGTTGGTGGGTGATATCTGCAGCAATGAACCTCAAGGGCTCGGAATGCTGTAGAAAAACATTATTATTATTTTTTTTCTTTCACAGGCTACATTGTTTGAATCTGCATCAAGTCTGATTTTTTTTAAAGAATCTTGGCTGCCAGGTCGTTATGTTCACCTTTCTGCAAACTCTAGCAGAAAGTTTGGTTGTTCGTCCACTCTAGACTATGATCTTATTTGAGTGTTGAACGCACGCACACCTGTTTTACACTCTGCATAGCTTTCTTTGTATGCAGAGTGTTTCTAGGATGACTGAAGAGGTGTGGATAGGAGGTCAAGCCCTGGTCCTATTCTACCCCAGCAAGTGTGTTTCAGCACCTCTGTAACCCGATCCTTTTTCTAGTTGTCAAATTTAGTCATCTGTTGACCTTGTCCAGCTCTGAGAGATGCTTAATGTGCACAGTTATATCTGTGATCTCCGATTTCATTTCCATGTCTTAAACAATTCAACTAATCTGATTACATTGCATGCTGGGTCCGAAGGCAGTGGTTGGTGACTCGGAATTCACTGATGACAAGGATTAGTTTCATTTTTGTGCCAGGATATGTGGGGGTACAAGGAAATGAGCAAGCTGATAGGCTTGCAGGTGAGGCTACTGTAAAAGCCGGACAAGCCATGCACCAGGCTGATATACTGAATGCTCTAAGAGAGTTAATATTTTTTTTTTTTGCGTGAACTGAGAACTGTGAACTGCAACCATGATTAGACTGCAAGAACAACATGTTATACCGGGTGTCACCAAACAAGAACACTACGCGGATAGTCAAAGAAGAAGAATAAACCAACACAGAACCGGTGTCGTTAGCTGCTACATGCTGCAAGATTTACTAAGGAGGATCCGAGCACTTATGGACTGAGTGGTTCGACGTGAAATGAGGATAATCCGTCGACTAACTAACTAACTAAACAATTTCATTATGTGGTCAGATCCAACAACTCCAACCTGGTTAATAAATACCTGTAGAAGTCAGAAGTGTCAGCTGAAAGGCGCAAATATCGCGGCCATACTGTAAACGGGCACAACAAAGTGACATTGTTTGATGAATGCACAAGAAGAAGACATGATGCTCTAAACTGCAGAAAACACTACTGCTAACGGAGGAAACAAGACTGCCAATGTAAACAGCTTCCAAGCCACACACACATTACACACACACACACATTACACACATACATTACACACACACACATTACACACACACACATTACACACACACACATTACACACACACACACATTACACACACACATTACACACACACACATTACACACACATTACACACACACACATTACACACACACACACACATTACACACACACACATTACACACACACACATTACACACACAAACATTACACACATATTACACACACATTACACACACACACACACACACACATTACACACACACACACACATTACACACACACACATTACACACACATTACACACACATTACACACATATTACACACACATTACACACACACACACACACATTACACACATATTACACACACATTACACACACACACATTACACACACACATTACACTCACACATCACACACACACACATTACACACACATTACACACACACACATTACACACACACACATTACACACACAAACATTACACACACACACATTACACACACACACATTACACACACACATTACACACACACATTACACACACACATTTTACACACACACACATTACACACACACATTACACACACACACATTACACACACACACATTACACACACACACATTACACACACACATTACACACACACACATTACACACACACACAAAACGGAAGTTGCCCGTTTGTAAGAAGAATCTGCACCCAGTTCATCATCATCATGTTGTGCTGTAATACATCACATAGTGCCTGCAGCCCAGTCCTTCTTTCTGTTCTATCCTGTGTAATACTTGTGATATCATGGAGGGAATCAAGTACAGTGCTTTTGACCTCTCTCAGCAACATTCAGGTTGTTCTCTTCTTCTCATCCCCATTTCCTGTCTCCATTTGTTTTCCATTTCAGTGCCTGTCGGGTGATTCTTTATTCATTTGTCCTCAAGATGTGCTCAGTGTATTGTCACCTTCTTTGCCTTTATAGCTAATGACACAAGCCAACTCACTCCTCACATAATCAGCGGTAGGTAGGTATACAAATTTTGTTGACCATAATAAATTGCTATCCTGCTATTTTGTCAGTTTAAAAGAAAAATAATGTATTTCTTTGTTTGATAACTGCCGACAGCTGGTGGGGTCTGAACAGAGTTTGCATGAAACCATACAGAGGTACGAAGAGCGACTGCGGGAAGTCAACAGCCAGGATGAGAATGCTGACAGCATCAAGAAAAAGCTGCATCAGAAGAATATTGAACTGGAATCGTATCCTTTTCTCCATTGCAGATTTGGTATACTTGTGATGTCTTAAGAAAGGGGGTTTATTATTAACCTTGAACTTCCGAGTCAAAAAGGAACTTGCATTTCCGACTCATTTCCATCAGTGTGGACTCTAGCAGTCTGAAACATTGCTAAATGTGACGGGCACCAAAACGGGGTTGATGGGGATGGAATTCGAGGGGAAAACCATGTCATTATCTAACAAAGTGGCAGCTAGAGAATTGTTGCCACTAAAATAAACATCTAAGGGAGTGTTCTTCTTGTGCCTTCTTTTCCCTAATGGGGCATTGGCCCTCAACCAACTCACGCTGTTCTATCCTTCCTTTGCTGTTGCATGCAGCTCTTGCCAGAAAAGCCACACAGAAAGAAATTAACGTACATAATTAGAGTCTGTTTCTGTTAGACGGCATCATAGATTCCATTTGTGTCACAGGAGATGAATTAACCCATCGGTGACTCAATCTTGTAAACGTTGCTGTCCCAGACTGTTTCTATGGCCTGTTCATGAGAAGCAGGGTTGATGGTGCTGGGTCCTGTTTGTGCCTGTGCACTCTTCTGGAGGAATGTATTTACTAAACTTAAGGCTGGGGTCGTACAGCTGTTCTTATTAACAAAATGGCTTTTGAAGTCATTTTGTGTCATAATTTTCTCACTGGAATTGGAATTCCAGTGAGGACACTAAATGGGTATATTTAGAAAATGATTTTAGTGTAGATAAATTCATTTTTACAAAGTTTATCTCTGACCTACATACAATTTAAAACAAAATATTTTCCACACACGCGCGTGCGTGCGCACGCACACACACACTTACTTTTATGTAGCATTTCCCTGGACATAAGGTTTTATGTATATATAGTCGGCTTTTGTGGCTTAGGCGTTGCGAACGCGCTTTGTGATGCCGGGGTGCCGGGTTCGATCCCTGTCGCGGACGGTTTGTCTTGCGCTGGTTTCGAAAGTGGTACCGAGAGCCGACCGTCCAGAAGCAGTGGCAAACTACTGGACGTAAATATGCCTAGAAAAACCACAACAGCCAGAAAGTCCTGGGGTTGGTTCTGCAACGTCCTGTAAAGGTTATGCAACTAATTTAATTATATATGTATGTTACTTGTGTATATTACGGCATGCTTCGAGGCAGTGCAACACAGAGGCGGACATCTTATGCAGACTTTGTGAAACAAAAAGTTGCAGTCATCCTGTGTTCCTTAACGCCCGAACAGACTTCATCAGAGCCATAAGAAGCTCAACTTGATGCTGCTGGAGTATGAACAGACCAGGAAGGAGAAGAATGAGGAGTACAAACATCTCAAGGTCAGTCATATGGGACTTTTTCAAGGAATATTATTAGATCTGACTTTCAGAGAACCGTATATCAACCTTGACTTTCTGGGGTTGTTTCGGAATCTTGACTTTCCTGGGCCTTTATTTTCAGTCTTGACTTTCCTAGGCCTTTTTTTTCTCCCGTCTTGACTTTTTGAGGCCTGTACTGCAATCTTGACTTTCCATGGCTACCCTCTGCTCCCCCGCATTCCCCCAGTCATGATTGTCTGAAGCTTCTGTGAAAATACCTAGACATTCATAGAGAGAAAGAGAAAGAGAGATTGTATTTTGTAAATCCATTAACCAAAATTAGCATCTTAAGGGGTTTCCTTAAAACCAAGTAGGTTTTGTTTCTAAAGCCAAGTTGACGGCACATTTTCCCAGGTATAGAGGTCATGACAAAAGTCACCTGACACTTATATTGTTTAGGCTCAGGTGAATGTATTTCATTAAATGCTGCAATATGTTTATGTTTTTGGATTTCTCCCTTCATACATTTTTGTATATTTAACAATTCAACCCCGCACCCCCTTTCAATATTAATATACATAAATGGTAGTCGCCTGTGTACAATTGTTTTAAATAATTTGTTTCTTGGGAATTTTCACGGGGTCATTACTTATTAATTTTAGTGCTACTGGGACGAAAGAATTAGATCATCTCACAGTTTTCTAATTTATTGCATAAAAAAAAATTTTTGTTAAAAATAATATTATTATGGTATAGTTATTATGGTGTTGGCATCTGTGGCTTAGGGGCTATGGCCAGCAGTTTTTGGCAACGGGCCGCTTTGCACTGATTTCAGCATACCATTCAGAAAAATAAAGCTACCAGTGCCAAACATGGACACTATGTCAAGTCTATGTATGCAAAATCACCACCTGCCAGATGAGATGCCTAAGAAAGGCCACAAACCTTACCATCTGAGATCGAGTGAATAATGATACGATCTCTCTCTAGCGTATTTGGCTAAACCGGATTGCGCGGTGACCGGGTGACGAACTCCTTGTGGTCCGGGTTCACGCCCAGGGGTAGGCACAAAAGCCACATTTCTGCCAGATTTACGGTATTTACAATGGAATCAAGGTTTAAAGGTTGCGATATCCATAATACCGATCCTAAGCGTTAACAACTCATGGCTTCTCGATATTTAGAAAAAAAAAATTAGTGGGAACGAACCTTGTACTAGATTCATTGAGAAACAGCAGATCAAATGGTTTGGCCATCTCGCTAGAATGCAGCAAGATCAAATACCATCACAAGCACTACATCTGATAAAATCAGTTACAAGAGCAAGAGGACAACCTCAAATACATGGGTTGACAACATTAAAGACACTCTTAGTCTTCACGGCATATCAATAGTCGGTGGCAGCCAGCATGCACTGGATCGCAAATTATTCCTCCCCATGACACCTAACGGCAGCAGTGGTTTATGATGATGATTCAGAAATTGGCTAGTAAAATCATAAAAAGATATAGATGCTGGGGTTAGTTTGCGACATCCTGTAAGTAATTAAATTAGGTTTTCATTCTTCTTCAGGTAGTGCCCCCCAAAACATTTACTTGCAGCTCCTAGGGCCCTCTACTCCCAGGTTGAAAACCACTGCTGTAAAGGATATATATAATTAATATACATTATTTTTTTTAACGAACATAAAAATGACAAGTAATTGATGTGATGCCTGCAACATTACAGATGCAGCTGGCAGAACAAGACAGATTGAAGGAGAGTTTGCACAAGAGCAGACAGGAGGCCGAGGAGCTTCAGTTGATGCTGAACTCGATGAAGTCCAACAACAGGGATGTGTAAGTTATCTGGCTTGAAATGCTCACTACTATCGTCTGTACTCTGTTAGGACTGCAGGATGCGTACACAAGGCTGGTGTGGCTGTTAACGGGTGTGCTAATTGTAACTTCTTTAGAGGTTGAACGGGGTATCTGGGTTCTGTCTTGCTGTCCAGATTGATACTTTTTAATCTTAGGATTTTATGGTAAACCCTGGGCGAGTTGGAGCATATTAGATATATGAGATTAGATAGATGATGATTATAATGAATAAATAATTTTTAGGCTCTGATAAAAGGTTTGCTTGCAAAAGTATGAAAATTAGTTATTCATTAAAATCATCATCTTTCTAATCTCATATATCTAATAGGCTCCAAATCGCCCAGGGTTTTTAACATCCAACAAAGTTCTATCATAATATTTTTGGTTACAGACCTTTTCAGTCACAGCTTTTCTGGCTTGTATTTATTTCCGGTGTTCACGCATGTGTCGAAGGTTATTTCTCTTTGAGGGGAGACTTCTCTTAAGTGATTTTTGTGGATTCTTATTGTTGGCATTGTTTATAGATGTTATTAGCTGATAAAGGTTTTCTAGCCACACTTTTCGTTTGTGTTTGTGCTAATGTTAAACTGACTAGTTGTACTTTTCGTTTGGTTGGACATAATTTCATGATACTCATAATCAAGAGTAACAATAAACATTGAACCTATGTTCATAAGTCAAGCCTGTCTTTCACAGTGTGAAATCTTTGGAAAACTCACTCAAGGAGAAAGAAGAACAACTGAAATGGGAGCAGGTGCACAAGAAATCCATGGAGAATGAGTTGTCTCAGGTTAAAGAACACAATCAGTCCCTGGAAGAATTGTGAGTATGATGTGTAGTGTTTATTTACAGTAGACCCGTGGAGAGAAGGTGGGGAAACTGGCATTAGATTTGGTTGAGAACTCAGAGGAGCCTGGGGTATTGGAAATAGGCAGGTATCACAACAGTTTTTCTTAATCTTCAGTCTCTGAAGGCTTAGATGGCTGAGAAGGACACACAGGGGACGGATGATGGTAGAGTCCCTAACGACATCTTCTGCTGGGTATCACTGATGGGTAGAAGATGTTGAGGTTGGCCCTTTACTGCGAATTAAAGGTGTGTGCAAGTGGGACATGAATAATACAGGTACTGAGATGCATTTGTGGGAACAGTGTGGACCATGTTGCATGGATGGAAATTGTAAGGGGGGGGGGGGGGGAATCAGGAAGGGTATAGGGATAAAGAACAAAACAATTCCAGAAAGTTTGAGATCTGAGTATCTGAGAAGAATCTCACCAAATACATGTGATGACAACAATGGTCTTAAAATCTCATGTTCTAATTGTAGAAGGGTTTTCTTAACACAGGCAAGTGTTGCTGATCACACTTGTCATCTTTACTGGCAGTGATTGCCACACCTATCTATGGCTCAGTAAACCACTTTCCAACACTTATCTGTGGCTCAATAAACCACTTTCCCACACCTATTTATGCCTCAATAAACCACTTTCCTACACCTATTTATGGCTCAATAAACCACTTTCCTACACCTATCTATGGCTCAATAAACAACTTTCCCACACCTATCTATGGCTCAATAAACCACTTTCCCACACCTATCTATGGCTCAATAAACCACTTTCCCATACCTATCTATGGCTCAGTAAACCACTTTCCCACACCTATCTATGGCTCAATAAACCACTTTCCCACACCTATCTATGGCTCAATAAACAACTTTCCCACACCTATCTATGGCTCAATAAACCACTTTCCCACACCTATCTATGGCTCAATAAACAACTTTCCCACACCTATCTATGGCTCAATAAACCACTTTCCCACACCTATCTATGGCTCAATAAACCACTTTCCCACACCTATCTATGGCTCAGTAAACCACTTTTCCACACCTATCTATGGCTCAATAAACAACTTTCCCACACCTATCTATAGCTCAGTAAACCACTTTCCCCACACCTATCCGTGGCTCAATAAACCTCTTTTCCACACCTATCTATGGCTCAGTAAACCACTTTCCCACACCTATTTATGCCTCAATAAACCACTTTCCCACACCTATCTATGGCTCAATAAACCACTTTTCCACACTTATCTATGGCTCAATAAACCACTTTTCCACACCTATCCGTGGCTCAATAAACCACTTTCCCACACCTATCTGTGGCTCAATAAACCACTTTCCCACACCTATCTATGGCTCAATAGACCACTTTCCCTCACCTATTTATGGCTCAATAAACCACTTTCCCTCACCTATTTATGGCTCAATAAACCACTTTTCCACACCTATCTATGGCTCAATAAACCACTTTTCCACACCTATCTATGGCTCAATAAACCACTTTTCCACACCTATCTATGGCTCAATAAACCACTTTTCCACACCTATCTATGGCTCAATAAACCACTAGACAGAAAGTGCCAAGAAATGAATATACAGGAGAAAATGACCACCAATAGAGCACTTTTGTGTACTATGGAAAAGTCCCTCACCACAGAAACTCACTGAACTGACTGCAGAGAAGGCTCACTGTTATCCTAAGTTATCTTGAGGACTGGTGTGGGTGATCATGCTTCTGCACAGCTCACAGAAGATATCAACTAGCACTTCTCAGAATGGACTTCAAAATAGATTGCTATTGTTTTGATAATAGTTGTAGCTGTAAAAACTAACCTGTCTCACCGCTGTTGTCTGTTAATTTATGTTGTCAAGCCCAAAGAGAATGACAAAAATGTTAAAATCCACACTTGCTGTTAAATGTATGTATTGTCTTCATTGCATTATATATCCATTTTTGTTTATCCATGCCCTGATATTATTCATTATTGAGTCTCCACTAACACAACACAGTTATATGCTTGTGACTTATTTTCTATCATTCCTCTCCCCCCTAACACAGCATGAGGTTGTAAGCTTGTTGCTGAGTTTGTTTTCCTCTCCTCTAGGCTCAGATCCTCAGATGAGAAACAGGAGCAGTATCAGCAGGAGGTGGAGAGGTAATCTGTCTGTGCTGTTATTACAGCAGTGTTGTTATAGTTCAGCAGTGTTGTCATTGTTCAGCGATGTTAATATAGTTTAGCAGCAATGTTATAGTTTAGTAGTGTTGTTATAGTTCAGCAGTGTTGTTATAGTTCATCAGTGTTGTTATAGTTCAGCAGTGTTGTTATAGTTCATCAGTGTTGTTATTGTTCAGCAGTGTTGTTATAATTCAGCAGTGTTGTTATTGTTCAGCAGTGTTGTTATTGTTCAGTAGTGTTAATATAGTTTAGCAGCAATGTTATAGTTCAGTAGTGTTGTTATAGTTCATCAGTGTTGTTATAGTTTATCAGTACTGTTAAGTTCAGCAGTGTAGTTAGAGTCCAGCACTGTTATAGTTTATCACTGCTGTTATAATTCAGCAGTGTTGGTATTGTTCAGCACTGTTATTGTTCAGCATTGTTGTTACTGTTCAGGAGTATTGTTACTGTTCAGCAGTGTTATAGTTCAGCGGTGTTGTTATTGTTCAGCGGTGTTGTTATAGTTCAGCGGTGTTGTTATTGTTCAGTGGTGTTATAGTTCAGCGGTGTTGTTATCGTTCAGCAGTGTTGTTATAGTTCAGCGGTGTTGTTATAGTTCAGTGGTGTTGTTATTGTTCAGTGGTGTTGTTATTGTTCAGTGGTGTTGTTATAGTTCAGCGGTGTTGTTATCGTTCAGCGGTGTTGTTATAGTTCAGCGGTGTTGTTATAGTTCAGTGGTGTTGTTTTTGTTCAGCGCTGTTGTTATTGTTCAGCGGCGTTGTTATGCTTTAGCAGCGTTGTTATAGTTTAGCGGTGTTGTTATTGTTCAGAAGTGTTATTGTTCAGCGGTGTTGTTATTGTTCAGAAGTGTTATTGTTCAGCGGTGTTGTTATTGTTCAGCGGTGTTGTCATTGTTCAGCAGTGTTGTTATTGTTCTGCACTTGTTGTTATTGTTCTGCACTTGTTATCGATCTTGTTCTGGCTGTGTTATTCATGTCTGTAGAAGCAGTTGAAATATGCATGTGGGAACACTTTGCTGTGTACACACAATAGTTTGATGGTCAGTTGAAAGTTACCATTGTAATAGATCACCCTTTCATGCTGCGAATTTAAAAAAAAATGTGGGGGGGAGGGGGGCATAAATCACTAGGAATGCTCTCCCCCCCCCCCCCACAAAGGTCGCTAAAAAATTATTTTTTTAAATCTAATTTATCTACAATTCTGTGTCCATGCAGGCTCCAGTCCAGGCTGGATGCACACTACCAGGAGAAGATGGAGCTTAGTTCCAAAGTTGAAAGTCTTCAAGAGGAGAAATCCAAACTGGCCAGTGTAAGAATATTTTTATCTTCACTGTCTACATTGTTTACAATGTTACTGTGTGTTAATAATTCCTAGACTTTTTGTGTGTGTAGCTTTCACTGCAAAGGTGCATCTGGTATACGGTGCTAGACCAGTACAGGTCTTCTCGGCTTATGACTGAGTTCTGTTCCGACTAAAATGTCACACATGGAAGTGGTCATAAGTTGAATTTATATTTTGCAACACTATTTTCATTCAAACTTGTAAAAAACAGTCTGTCATACACTTAGGGTCCAACCTGCTCTGATGACAAGAGCTTGCTGCGCTCTGGGTGTCGGTTCTCGGAACCTTTTAACCATACTAATGTAGCTATTATTCTTTGTTAACATTTTTTCATTCGTGGCTGTAAGAGCGGATGGTCATAAACCGCATTGGTCGTAATTGGAGGAGATCAGTTTGATAGACCACTAGGTGATGTGGTCAGCCTTTTGCCAGCTGCCTTTACTTTCAGTCCTATTTCCTGCTACCCAGTTTAGGCTGTTTTGACCTTGGGGGGGGGGGGGGCACTGTTTAATTCTAGTATAGAATGGATTTTTCCGTACTGCTGTAGAGTATTGCATACATTGCTTTTTAAGGCCTGCTATAGGCAATCATTGCGGCGTCCGTGGCTTAGGCGTTGCTAGTCCGACTTGTAATCCAGCATACCGCGATCGAAACTCACTGCTGACTGTGTGGATTTTTATCATGGTGTGGGGCGTCGCAGGTCGACCCAGCCTAAAATGGGTACCAGGATGGGCTGTCCTGGAAAAGTAAAGACATCCGGCGTAATGCTGACCACATGCTGATGGTCTGTAAAAATATGGGCGCTCTTCCCATATGCCCGATACGCCTAAAGGCGTGACAAGGGATCTTTACTTTACTTATATGCAATCATTGCAGTCATCATTGTGACCTAAAATAGCAGTTGATGCAATACTCCATAATCATCATCACCATCATGTGTCCTGCTCAGCAGCATAGGTGCTCGTGTCTCTCCACAGATCTCGGCCCTTGGTATTTTCAATCAATTCCACTGATGATATTCCTCCATACCATCCCTTCAGGTTGTCTAGCATCATCTCTGTTGGTCTGCCTCTTCTACCATTGATCTTTCTGGTCATCATAATGGTCTCCGTTGCCTCTCTTCTCATTACATGACCAAAAAACACAGACAGCCTCTTTCTTACAGTTGTCTATCTAGTTTCTAATTCCATCAGCCATGTCTGGGCAGTTGTTCTCAATCACTGTCTGTCCACATTTCCATGGCCCTCAAGTTCTTCTTAATTTCTCTTATTTCCCAGGATACACCACCATTCAGCACCATTGGTTCAACAGGAACTTCCAGAACTCTTTTTCTGACGCCTAATGAAAGGGACTGGCTGAATCTTAGTGTGGAAGTATCAGTTATTTACTGGGTGGTCTTGAACTTTTGGCCACCAGTGTATGTTGTCAAAATGTCACTGATTGAGGCAGATTCAATTGTC